TTTCAACAAGCCTTCACTCCTATCTAAAGGTCTGATTTCTGAGTCTAAGAAGAAGTGAAGACCTGTACCTATTGCCCATAGCAATGTGATCCCCAGTATTGCTCTGCCCAACTATTGGTGACATTTTTCTGTCTGAATGAGAGAAACCATGCAAAGTGCTTATGGTAAAACAGTGAAGATGGGATCAGGGCAAGGTGGAGAAGGGATTCTGACCATGATTACTAACACCATCCCAGGCACAAGACATATCCTAATCTTAGTGGCATAGATGTTCACACAAAATGACTGAGCTGGGTGCAAACTTCATGGATCAGCAAAGCCTTTATTCAGTAGTGGAGTCATGCATCTGCCCACTTTTCTGATGGAAAATGAGCCACTGCCCAAAGCGGGAATCTGTGCTTATACATATTCCACTGAGAGGTGACTTAATTATTGACAGAGCGTGTTAGTTTGGGCACTCAGGAAACAGGTTTGTGAGAATTTGAAATTTGTTTTTACTGGGCAATATTTTTACTTGGGGAAGAATGGAAGGTCTGGAGTCAGCATTCAGTACTTATCCCTTTCTCTCTGGGGTCCCCTTATACATTGTACTGTCTTTGGGAAAGGATTTGTTTCGGGGAAGGATCAAATTTGACTTCCTCCCAGAGACTGCCATTTTAGGCTTGATCGATATCTCCTTCCCAGGGATTGTCCTGTCACTAGGAAAAGACGTATTGGGAAAGAATCAATGTTATCAGTATGTTGGCTTCTTCCTCACTCCCTCTTCTCAGACCACACTATTTGGGGGTTTGTCATTTTCCATATCTTACAATAGAAATAAAGACAGGTTCTACCCAGGTTTTGGGGGCTAGATCTTTTGGGTCATTCAACAACAACAACAACAACAACAACAACAAAAAACACCTATTGTTCCCTTCCTTTGGGCCAGGTTTGGTTTTTATACCTGATGATAATGGTGTTGAACAAGATATAGTCCCTGCTCCTTGTAGCTACCAGAGAAGCAGATGTTGAAGTAAACTATCACCACTAAATGGATAAAAACGTGCCAAGTACTGAGAAGTACAGGGTGCAGTGATGGCATGTAGTGGGCTGCCTACTTTATTCTGGATGGTCAGGGAAGGATTGCTTTCCATGAGAGTCCAGCTGACACTTCCAGTAGTAGTCAAGATGGAAGGTAAGAACAGGAAGGTATTCTAGGTTTAGAGAACAGCAGGGCTTAGCAAGTGGGGCAAAAGTTGAGAGAAGAGAGAACATGGGAGTGATGAAAATGCTGGGAAGGTGAGTGGGGGCCAACACCATCCAGTGCTGCAGCATTGGAGGGAGCAGAATTGGAAGGAAGAAAGGCCTACACTCTTAGGGTTGGGGAGGGAGAATTTTAAGGGTGGTTCAATCCAGCGGATTTTAGAACTTTCCCTCCTCCTCCTCCAAGACATAATTTCATGGGGGATGTATGTTGTTAAATTTGGGGAAGCTGGTGAGGTTATTGCCGGTGTCGTGAACGGGAGCCAGGAGGACCAAATTCTGCAATGCATAGGGCACTCTTGCCTATTGAAATTTTTTTTCAGAATTCAATTGTCTTGCTGGACATTCACGTCAGTGAAAAATCTACATGACAGCATGTAATGCACTGGTCCAGCCCATCTGGTTGCATCTGCAGCTTTACTACAATACAGGTGGTTTTTTTTGTTTTTTGAGAGAGAGAGAGAGAGAGAGGAATATGAATGAATCTCTTAACATTCATTTTTCAGTTTTC